GTTAAACGTTTGTCATGCGCGAGGGGAATTAAAGGCAACATAAGAAATAACCACTGACTCGCAAAAACCACGCGTTCATAGAAATCTGTTAAAGGAAACAAGCGTTTGAAAAAGGAAAACTCCAGACTTGTCGAACAAAAAGCTTATTCATTTAGGGGTATCCTGTTGATTTACAAGTGTACCATCCTTTTTTGTACTTACTAAAAACCGTTATACTATTCTAAAACACCGTGACTCACTGGCTTGTCTAGCATTTTATCAGTTTTGAGAGAAATCTTGGTTCTGACAACGTGAAAGCACTTCATCTAGTCATTTCAAAGTTCGCACATGTACAGACGTTTGACCGATTTGTTTTAGTATTTCATGCATTACCACTAGTTAACGATTTTTTCATTCTCCCTCTTTGACATGTACGTCCGTTCTGGGAATGCTTCACGCAGAAGGACGCGCACCTTTTTTATGTATTTTCACATTGATAACAATTTAACCCATTTACAAACGTTCTGCTTCTTTACCTTGCGATATATGATTTTTTGCAGTCCCAAGTCAGCCTCAAGATGTCTTTGCGAAACTTGACAAATGTGGAACTTTTATTACTGTTTCATGGAAGGATCCAAAAGACCACAATGGAATTATCATCATGTACACGGTGAGTTACGCTGTAACAATTCATTGATAAGCACGCTTTAAAGATTTAAGATGCGGTCATCAGCTAGCATCTATGATTTGTGTTATATTTTTTCTGTAATGACAGGTGTAAGATTTCCCATTAAAAATCAATTAGAAAATTAAGGACTCGCTGCCTGCTTCTAGCCAATGGAACCCCGAGGTTTAAGTGTGTACATTTTTTTGGGATTCAGAACAATTTTTTATCCTCTAAGCGCTTACGCCACACTAAATGCTACTTGTTTGCTTTTGTTTTTTTTGTTTGTTTCTTTTTTTGTGTGTTTTTTCTGAGATGTTATATCTTCCTCGTTTTTCAGGTATACTTCGAGGGTAAAAGAGCATATGACCCTTCCTTTACAGATAACCACCAAATTGTATTAAGAAACAGCTCTCGGAGCACTGAAATTGGAGTAGAGAAGTTGTGGCCTGGTACAGAATATAGTATTTATGTGAAAGCAAGTACAGTCAAAGGATATGGAGCCGAAAGTGGTCGTGTGGAGCAGAAAACACTATCACAACGTATGCGAACATTCTTTGTTCATTTGTGTGAATATGTTGGAACTTAATTTCAGCTTGTACATCAGTTGCCTGTTGCATCACGGCAATTGCGTCAGCAAGCATCTCGCTCAATCTTTGAGCAGTGGGTAAAGAATGAGAAAGGCAGGCGCGGGGACGGACGGACGGGCAGGTAGACAGACGGAGGGACGGTGGGACAGAAATACAGAGAGAGGAGGTTGAGACAGATAAACAGACAGAGGAAGGGTGGGACAGATAGACAGACAGAGGGAGGGTGGGACAGATAGACAGACAGAGGGACGGTGGGACAGATAGACAGACAGAGGGACGGTGGGACAGATAGACAGACAGAGGGACGGTGGGACAAATAGACAGGTGAAGGGTGGAATGAATAGAATAATGACAATGGACTGTACCCTTGTCGTACATACCGTATTTTGTTAAATGATCTCAATATATCGTCTATGGTTTTTATTTTTTTA